TCAATAACCTTTAGTGTTTGTATTAATTTAGGAGTTAATGATGGTATAAAAGGTAGTGAATGATAATATATGTTTTGATTGTCGGATACAGTGTTTTGAGATTTAGCAAAAAATGGTGTTAAGTTATTTATATTTAATAAATTAGAAAAAAGCATCCTATGTAGCATATCAGGAGGATAAGAGTTTTCAATTAAAATATTTTTTAACAAATGAAGATCTTCTTTTAGGTAGTCAGGATGAGAAAGTTTTAAAACACGTTCCTTTAATCCTGTTATAAGGTTCATTATTATTGATAATAAAAAAGCAAAAGAACTCAAAATTTATAATTCTATTGCACCACGGTTTTATGCTCTACCTAAAATACATAAACCAACTTTATCTATGAGACCAATTGTTTCATCTCTATGCCCTCCAAATGGACCAATAGCACAGCTCCTCACTGACATCTTAACCAATGCTTATAATTTAAACAACAATTTTTACATAAAAGATTCATTTGATTTTAGTTCTTTTATTAATAATTTCCAATTACCACAAAATTATGTTTTAGTTAGTTTTGATGTAACATCTCTTTTTACTAATTTACCTTTAAATTTAATCATAAGTAGTGTTGAATAACATTGCAATGAGATTTCGCAACATACTAATATTGACTTATTACATTTTAAAACACTCATCAACTTTGTTTTTGATTCTAATATTTTTATATTTAATGGTGTTTTTTATAAACAAATTTTTGGTAGCCCTATGGGATCTAGTCTTTCACCCATTCTAAGTAGCTATGTCATGGATGATGTTATTAGTGATTGTATCAATAATTGCACTTTTTTCATTCCATTTATCAAAAGATATGTAGATGATCTAGTTTTGGCACTTCCTAAACACAAAATTCTTGAAACAGTCAACATTTTCAACAATCATAATCAACATATACAATTTACAGTTGAGGAAGAGGTAGATAATTCTCTACAACTCCAATATGTTGAAAACTAGATGGTTCAGAAAACCCATAATGTAGTAATAGATTTATAAGCTATTACTCTAATCATCCAAATAAAATGAAAATGAACCTTATAACAGGATTAAAGGAACGTGTTTTAAAACTTTCTTATCCAGACTACCTACAAGAAGATCTTCATTTGTTAAAAACTATTTTAATTGAAAACTCTTATCCTCCTGATATGCTACATAGGATGCTTTTTTCTAATTTATTAAATATAAATAACTTAACACAATTTTTTGCTAAATCTCAAAACACTGTATCCAACAATCAAAACATATATTATCATTCACTACCTTTTATACCATCATTAACTCCTAAATTAATACAAACATTAAAGGTTATTGACAATATAAAAATAGCAACAAAGAACATCAAAACTATTTCATCTTTATATTCCAAAACTAAATATCCTATAGACAAATTAGATCAAACAAATGTAATATACAGCATTGTTTGTACTCAGTGTGAAGCTGAGTATATTGGTGAGACTGGAAGAAATCTCTCAAATCGCATTATTTCTCACAAGAGTGATTGTAGAATTAAGAAACCATCTTGTGCTTTGGCAGAGCATGTAATATACAATGACCATATTATGGATTTTGATAATATTAAAATTTTATGTAATGAAAGTAATCAATTTAAAAGAACTTTTTTTGGAAATGGTTTGTATTAGCAAAAGTGATAATAATTTAAACAAAAGGTCAGAAATTCAAAATTTAAGCAAAATTTATAATTATATAATTTCTATTTAATTTATGCAGTCAGTAAAATATCACATTTTGAATTTTCCATGTATTTGTTACATTTTTTCGGGCATCTATCAATGGTGAATAAATCTTCTTCTTTTTTGTTACTAAACAAAGAAGAATTTTTTAAACAAAATTTTATTTTTGACAATATGTCAAAAATAAAAATTTTTAAGTTAGTATTTATGACATTTAGGCTGGTTGTAGCTATTCTATTCTTTTTTACAAATTCAATTTTTTTTCTTAAAAAACTTCATCAAAATTTTGCAGAGAAACATTTATTAGAATAAGACATTTTTTTATTAATATTTTTTGTATTTAATATGTAAGCAGTAGTTTTATATAAAAAACTAATTTTATTTGGTGAGTTAACAAAAAATTTTTTATTTCTAGTTCAACTTTGTAAGACATTTTGTATTTGTTAGAAGCTCTTGATAAAGTTTGTAATCACAATTGAAAGCTCGAGTAAAAAATAGTCAACAAATAGCCCCTTTTATTGACTCCAACCCATCAAAAACAGTTTTATATATATATATATATATATATATATATATATATATATATATATATATATATATATATATATATATATAAAGAATAAATCTTCTAGCAAAAGCTGCTTTCGCTTTGATGAATTAAATGGCCAAATATATAGCCTAGGAAGACAAATTCGTTAAACTTCCCGTGCTCGAATCCAGCGTGCTCTGTTTTTTGTTTGCAAGTTTTTTGTCCTTTTTTAAATATGGGGATTGTGATGCTCTTATGCCATTGCTCTGGTGTTTCTGTGTTGTTTAAGATTTTGTTAAATAGTTGTGACAGTTTACTTGCAACTTCAGGGCCTCCATATTTTAAGAGTTCATTGGGTATACCATCTGTTCCATGTCCTTTTCTGTTTTTTAGCTTCTTGATTTTTGCTTCTACCTCTTCGTCATTAATTGTAGCACTTACATCTGCTTCGTATTCTCTTATATTCAGCGTTTCTTCAGCATCATATAGCTCCTTAAAATGCTGTTGCCATGTCTCTATAAGTACTCCTTTGGTCTGCACAAAAAACAAACTGGTTCTTTTCTATTTTGAAACATTTTCCATACTTTCTTTTAGGCACCATGTAGGTAGCACCGTGTTCTCTTTTGATTGATTTTATTCTTGCGTTTACTTCGTTTTTAACTTGGACATATTCAGCGAGAGCTTCTTCCGATTGTCTGCTTTTATATCTCAGGTAGCATTTGCGTTTTAATTCAGAGATTTCATTTACCTCTTGACAAAACTACGGTTTGGCGTGGTTTATCGCTCTGGTGTTAAATTTCCGCTTTCCAATTGCTTCTTCTGCTGCTTGATTGATGCATTTCCTAATATTTTGCCAAGTATCTTCTACTTTTCATTCTGATTGTAACTCGATCTCTTTTTAGTTTGCTGGTAATCTTGTTCTCATAAAGGAGTTTTGTACCCTCTGATGCTAGCGACTCTATATTGTGTTTTTCGAGGAGCATTGGGGGATTTCTGTTTCGTTGCAGACATTCTAGTAGCATCTTTCAAGGCAAAACAACAATGTTGTGATCGGTCTCCAGGTTAGAAGATATTAGGGTCCTGACATCAAATACTTGTGATACCTGAGTTGTTTAATGGGTGGATTGACTAGCTCATTGGATGAAAATGCCGGTCTTAAGCCTGGATGAAGGAGAAGGTTTTCTAAGGTAAGGTTAGCCACCTACCTGGGGTAAAGTATCCATACTGGCTCACAAAACTGAAGATACAGTTTCGGATACCGGACGGAACTATTAGATGATGACACGGTCTATGACAACGGAAAAACTAATTGGTAAACGAAATCCTAAACACCAAATCACACAAATCGTGTGCTGAAACGTCGTGGAATGAAAGAGACCGAGAGATTATAATAGAAATGAAGAAACACAATATTGACACCTGTGTAATCTCCAAAACAAAGAAAAGAGGGCAAGAAACATCAAAATACGGAGAGTGTACACTCATATACAGCGGAAAAGCTAAACAAGAAAGAGCACATTTAGGAGTTGGAATTTTGCTGCACGATAAATACACGCAAAGCATCGAAGATATTGAATACATCAACAATATGTTATTAAAAATCTCTATAAAAATGCGTAACCTCACAACACACCTGATAAGCACAAATGCCCCAGACATATCTAAGCCCACAGCAGAAACTGAAAATTTCGATCAGCAACTACAAAACGCCGTAGATAACATAATTGCTAAACACAAAATTATCGTATTTGGGAATCTTAATGCACGATTCGGATACAATGTCATACCAGGTATAAAACAAAAGTACAACGAAGAAATAATTAATGAAAACGGCGAAGGACTAATAGACTTAATTGTAATTAAAGGAAATGCCTTATTGAAATTACAGACAAGCCTCTCTAAAAAATCATTAAAATTATAGTCCTCGTTCACAGAGAGAAGGTGCCACCCAGAAGTCATCACAAATTTTGGAATTTACGAAAATTCTGGGCGGAAAAAATCCTTCCGAAACATTGGATATTCGAGGATGATTTGTTAAGCGTGTTAAACTTCGTATATACTGCGATCATATAATTCTGCATTAACAATTGTAGCTCGTATAAATCGTGATCCTTGGTAAAATCGATTGATTTTTGTTAAAATTAGTATGATATAATAAATATCATACTAATTTAATGAAGCTTGAGTACTATGTAAAACGCTAAGAGCACTACATGTACAACTTCCTTCTGTAGCTTGATTATTAAAAATAATAAAAAAAAATACCCACTATACCTTATTTATAAAACCATTTGCTTTAAAATCTCGTATTTCTTTAATCCTAATTAAAGAAAAAAGCCATTTCACTGTAAGCTCTCATTTTATTGCGCCTTTTTATAGGCCTCTTTATAATCTTTTAGTACATCAGCCATTCGACTCTCTGAGATTTTGCTCTTTATTCCTACCCGGGATGCAATATTTCTTAAAAACCTTTTCTTATTGTATTATTGCGGATCAAAGTGAACATTGCTTGGAAAAAGTAAAACAGCAAATTTTTATCGCCGTTTTTAAGCATCTTTAATAAAGTTGGTTCAGGCTTAGATTTAAAAAATTACACGTTTTATTCACGGGAACTGTTAAATATATTTTGAACATTCTATTTAGAAATAAAAGGCAAATTAAAACATTACATATACGTTTCACACATACAATAGTGATGTAGATTCGAAAGCTGTATCAATTAAAAAAATTGAAACATCACTTACCGTATTTGCGATGGTGTAAAGCATCTCGACATAGAGTTTCTGCTTTTCGTCGTGAGATAAATTATAGTCAATCGGTGAGATCCCCAGGTCGGGTTCGGGAACTGGGGCTTCAGATGTTGAGGCATCGGATAGTTTCAGTAGATTTAATCTTTGGTTTTCTTGTTCCCAGGCTAGAGCGGTAAAACTTTCGAAGTACGAACAATCAGTTTCTTGAATTCTGAAAATAAAACCAAACGAACTAATTAAAAAACGAACAAAATATATATTGTGTGTTATGATTTTTTATACAATAGTAGTGTTGAGACGTTTTACCATCGTCAGATATCTAGCCACCACTATATTCTTCTTCTTATAGTGCCGTGTACCTATAATGCATTGGCGAATTATCTTAAGGCCAGACGTGGCATGCAAAATATCGCGTGTTCTTTATGCCTGCAGAGTTCTTTATGTTCTCCTACTCCTCTCTTGCCTTCAGTATTTTTCTGGATGATTAGTTAAAATATTGCGTATTTTTTTCCTCTCAGAATATGACCGAGGTACCCAATTTTTCATACATTGATCAAATTGAGTAGTTCTCTCTCAGTATTTGCCTTTCTTAAGACTTCCTCGTTTCTCACCCTATCTGTCCATGGTATGCGGAACATTCTTCGCAACGTTCATATTTCGAAGGCCTCCAACTTATTGATGGAAGGTACTCTTAACGTCAATTTTTCCATGCAGTATAACAATATGAATACCAATACTATACATAACATTTAACTATCCTGTAGCGGGGATTGAAGGAAATATTGTGGATATATAGTAGCGGTTTATATTTAATAAAAGCTTGTATTGCTTGTTCGGTACAATATTTTATTTCTGGTTGAAGATCCCATTGGTCATTCATCATCATTCCCAAGTATTTAAATGTTTTCACTTGATCGATTGGAATATTATCTACTTGCAGTTGTATTCTTAAAACTTCGTTTTTTCTTATTGCCATGCATTTAGTTTTTCCAACATTTCTCTTTAAGCCATATGTTTTTCCTACGGTGTTTATTTTATTTAACATCAACTGCATATCATGTTCGTTGTCTGTTATTATCGCGGTATCGTCGGCGTAACGAATGTTATTTATCGGGAACACGTTTACCTTTATTCCACACGCAGAGCCTTTCAGTGCCTCTGCAAAAATGTTCTCCACATAGAGATTAAAGAGCATTGGAAAGAAAGACACCCCTGTTGGACCCCTCTAAAAATTTCAAATTCTTCTATGTTGGTTGATTTGTTTAGTCCAGAGTTATTCAGAATCTCTATTGATTCCAATCTACCATATCTTTCTCGTCAATGTTAGCGTTGTGTAGCAATTTTTATCATTGCGTCATGTTTTATGGTGTCAAACGGTTTTTTATAATCGAGGAATGTTATGACTATATTCTTTTGTTGATCCATGCAGTTTTGTACAAGCGTATTTAACCAGAAAGCTGCTTTACGTGTATCTAGTCCGCTCTTTAAACCAAATTGTCTCCCACTGCGTAGATATTCCAGATTTCTGAACATTTTTGTGTGAAGGATGCAAAGAAACACCTTAAGCAAATGGTTCATTAAATTTAGCAGTCTGTAATCTTTGCATTTTGTCGCTTTTCATGATTTAGGGATCATTATAAAAGTTGAATAAAGCCAATCCATTGGAATGTGGCCGGTTTAATGTTGAATATATGGCATTGAAAATTGTTAGTTAATATTATCATCTTCCTACAGTTTTATGGCTTCCGTAGTAATTCTATACTGTCCAGGGGCCCTGCCTAGTTTTGCTACTTTTATAGCGTATTCCACCTCGGCGCGAATGATGGGAGGGCCAAATAAATTTTCCGTGGGTAAATTAGTAGTTGGCAGATTCGGTCTATTATCCGCAAAGAGGAACAAAGCATATTTTGCCCAGATTTTAGCTAGTTCTTCCTATGTATGAACGTATTTTCCTTAATCATTCTTCAGGCAAGTCTTATGGTGTTTCTTGTATATACTCGAAATTTATCGACCTTTTTATGTAGTCCAAAGCTGTCTCCCTTTTCTTGTAGTGATTCCAATTCTTCAGAACGTTCTTTCATACAGCTTTCCTTTGCGTTTTTAATTCTTGCTCTTATCGTACGTTAGATTTCCTTGTATTCCTGTTGATTCTAATGTATTTTGTATTGTCTGCGTTGCTCCATTAGATCAGGTATCTCTTCCGTCATGCACTCGTTTTAGTGATTTCTTTTTATTTTACTTGTGACTACTTCGTCAGCCTCAACTATAACTATTTTTATTTTCTCACAGGTTTCCTTTATGCAATTTCTTTGTATGTTTCTCAAGTTCTCGTTGATATGCTTACTGTGTGTAGATCTAAGCTCTTTATCTCTCATTAATTATCTAGTGTTTATGCATTTTTTAATAGATGCCTTATTAACTTTTGCCAATCGAAAGAGAGTTAATATTTGATTTTAAGTAAGTATAGTGCGTCTGTATATCCGCTTATATATATTTCATCCTGAAAGCAATCTTCGGAGTAGCTATTTACAGACACTCTGAATGTAAAAACAATCTTTCGAACACTAAAATGGCTTCGATATGGACGTAATAGCGACATCTGATAATAAATCCCGAAACTAATTGTCGGATCAATTTATAAACTTTAGATGAATCTATAAATAATTCTATGTAAAATTGTTGTCAAATTTAAAATAACAGTAGAGATTTGTGATTTATCCATCTCTTATAAGATGAAACCATCTTATAAGAGTATTTTCACTTCGACTAATAGATTAAATTCACAGTCAAAGGAAACCGACAGGACGCAGATTTTTAAAACCAAAGAGACTTTATATATTTAAAACAGTATAGTAATAACTTATGAAAGAAGTAGATATACAACATTTACTCCTTTTTAATGCAAAATGTGTACCTTTAATTAGGAGAGTTCAGTGCAAACTTGTGAAAGTTGGGACTATAACTTACTATTAAAACAAAAAAACGTTCTATTTAATTTACATAAAGAAGCTTCTTGAAAGTTTGCTGTTGAAATTTAACAAAAGATCAATAAACTTTAAAACTACAAAATAGCGTAATATTTCACACAGAATCTCACTATAAATAAATATTGACTTTTTTATTTTTAGCTACAAAGTTTTGTTGTTTTGTTTGTCTTGTTTGTCTTGCATTATAAAAAACTATGTTTTTATGACAAACATTGTGTGATTTTACAAATAACATATTAATAATATATTTAGACAGAAAAATTATTACTTAACAGGAAAATACTGTGCCTCTTTCTTCTTAACGTGCCCCATCCCTAAGGACATTGGCGATCATTATGGCCCATTTGACTCTATCTGCCTGCCGTTCTAAAAAGTTTTATTGACGTTTTCCCACTGCATTCTCTCAGATTCTTCAATTAGGATGTGCGTCTTCTCCAAGGTCCTCTTTTGCCTTCCACCTTCCTTTGCCTTCCCGTGTTGAGTATTTCTTTATCTTTTTTCATTCTTTGTAGCGTTTCCGCATTTGTTATGTCTTCTGTCCAAGATATTTTCCACATACTTCGATAACACAACATTTCAAAATTAATGAGTCTTTTCTCTGTCGCCTCTGTAATTGTCCAGGCCTCAACTTTATACAACAGGATAGAGAACACGTAGCACTTCAATACTCTAGTTCTAATTTAAATGTTGAGTTTTCCATTGCATAATATTACTTTCATCTTATTAAAAGCACTTCTAGCTATCTCAATATGCCGTTTCCTTTAGCATAAAATATGTCTTCCTCAATCTTGTTCTTGCTTACCACCATGATTTTTGTTTTGTTTGTATTCAGTGCCATTCCATACCTTCTTCTTCTTCGGGTTCCTTCTCCTAGCGGAGGTTGGAAATCATCATCGCTATTTTAACAAAGTTAAAATAGCGATGATGAATTAAAAATAGCATTCCATACCAGTAGTGGGTAATGCGATCAAACAAGATCTGTAGTTGTTCTCTGCTGTCCTCAAGGAATATTGTGCAATCTGCGTATCTCAGATTATTCAAAAGTGCTTCGTTAATAAATATGCCTTTATTTACGTCTTCTAATGTCTCTTTAAACAATTCTTCTGAAAGCACATTAAAAAGTAAAGGGAAAAGCACATACCCTTGTCTTACTCCACGATTTATAGGTATTTCTTTCGAGTTTTGTTGATTTATTCGTATTATGGCTTTCTGATATAGATTGGCAATGATTCCGACGTCTTCGTCATCTAATTCTGTGTTCTGCAGTATTATTGCCATTCTTTGGTGTTGTAGTTTGTCGAAAGCATTTTCAAAGTCGACTAGATATATGAAAATGTCGCAATTGACATCTCGATATCGTTCGATTAGTGTTTGTACAATAAATGATGCTTCTCTGGTACCAAAGCAATTTCTAAATCCCAATTGGTTTTCAGCTATTCTATCATCTAGCTTTGTTTATATACGTTCGTTTATCACTCGTAAGAAAACTTTTAGAATATGGTTTATCAAGCTAATTGTCCTGTGCTCTTTATACTTCATTGCGTTTGATTTTTTGGGTATTGGAATCAATATTCATATTAACCATTCTTTTGGAATCTCTTCCGTATAATAAATGTCATTAAATAATTCTATTAGTATGCCCATATGATTTATTGTTAATATTCGTAAGATTTCTGTAGGTATTTCATCTGGTCCTATGGCCTTCGCATTTTTTGTATAATTTAGCGCTTTCTCAATTTCGTCTTTGGTGATTGGTGGCCCATTGCTTCCTTTTGGTTCAATGACCTCAATGTTCTCGTCGTCTTCGAAAAGCTCTTTTATATATTCTTCCCATCTGTTTATTTTATTTGTACATTTTGCTATTATCTTGTTATTCTTACCGTTACTTAACTGTTATTGTTACTTAACAGATGGGAAGAGTACGAAAATTCTTCCCATCTGTTTATTTTACCTATACATTCCGATATTATTTTGTTATTTTTATCCATGATATTGCCGATATGCATCTTCTTGTATAGGCCAGCTGTCTCTTTGATTTTACGGTGTATGTTAAAACAGTCATGTTGTTTATCTAACCTTTCTATTTCTTCACACTTTTCTGATAGCCACAGTTCCTTAGCTTCTTTGATTTTCAGTTTGATTACTTTATTAATTTTTCTATACTGTTATTCGTTTTTATCCTTGTATGCCCTTCTTTCCGTCATCAGTTGTGTTATCTCTTGTG